ACCGGATTTCTGCTGACTGGAGGACACTGATGAAGGCGTACCTTTCACCTTTAGAATCTTTGCAATATCAAATGTTGTGGAACAAAGCAGCCCTTTCACAAGCACTCAAAAATGCAGAAGAGGATATAGATATAGGGATTCTTCAGCTGCTAGGAGATGAGAATTATGTCACAGTTCAGTTGCAGCTACAGTTTAAGGATCAGACACACAGGAACAAGTCTGCCTAAAGCCCTGGGAGAAAATAATACCATCAGGAAGCAGGTAGCCAGGTTACATGGCAGTGAAGCAAAGAAATAATGAGCCTTAGATTTTATATCCAGGTTACAGGATGCTGTCCCCCTCACTGCTGTATAACCTATAGTGCAATCCCTTCCTGTGATGTATGACTTTACCTGTAATTTGTGGGCTTGCACTCCCCCCAGATATATAGGCCTGGGTTAGCAATAAAGAGCGCTCTTGGGCTCCCCTCCCTTGGCCTCTGGTCAGCTTCCCTTCCTCTCCCATCCTCACTCCCATTCCCTTTCCCCTTGTCCTCCTTCCCTTCTCCCTCTCTCCATGTGGACCACAAAGCGGGGCTGAGGTGAGCATTGCTACCATGAAATGTGTCTGACTCATTATTTCTATCGCTCATGCTCTTGATGACATAATATATATATATACATATAGACCGTACAATTATGCCTATCAAACCCACGATTAGTGGTGGGGGGCTGGCCCCTCTTCCCTCCACATAAATATATATATTTCATATATATATGAAATCCTGTGCCCTGGCTTTGTTTCTCTAGAGAACCCTAACATACCCTTCAATCATTTTATAATTTTCTTTTGCTGGTTTTTGCCTTAAAGTCTATTTTATCCTAAATGAACATTATCACTGCTGCCGTATTTTTAATTGCCACTAGCTTGAAGTATTCTTTCCATCTTTTGTTTTGTCTATTTTTGTCTTTGTGCCTAATGTGTGTCACTTGTGGACAGCATATTGAGGGGTCGTTTTCTTATCCATTCTACTACTCTGTTATCTTGACTAGTTCACTTAATCTATTTACATTCAGCGTAATTATCAATAGGCGTGTTATTGTAATTTTGCTGCTCTCCTTATGACATAGCTGGTTTCTTTGTTCCTCATAATTTCCTGTGCCGAGTTTGTTTGTGGGTTTCTTTTATTATTTTCTTTTAGTATTTACTAAATCTTTATGATTTATTTTGTAAAGAAACTGGTATTTATTTTCCATTTACCTTATTTCCATTTTCTACAAGACTGTAAAAGAATGGCTTCAGACTATTTATTGGTTGTTCGCGCCCAGCCTGTGGCCTGAGCAGTGGGGCTGCAGACCAGCTCTTCTCGCAGGTTAAGCACTTGAGGCTTCTGCAGAGAAGCACCGAGTCGGCATGGAGGGCGTGGGCATGCCTTCAAACCAGGCTGCGGTCCTGGGCTGAGCAGCATTCCACCAGGAGAGGGCATGCCTTCAAACCAGGCTGGGTCCTGGGCTGAGCAGCATTCCACCAGGAGAGGGAACAGTTCCTTCACCCTGAACTTCTGTGGGCACGGCCTTTTCAACAGTGGCCTGGTCTTCCATTCCAATCTCTTCAGAAGCAGAGGTCAGGTACCGTCTCCCACAGGAACTCCTGCGTGAACTGAAAGAACTTCCCAGGCCAATATCTACATCAGACCCACCCAGTGAATTCCTTTGTTGTTACACAGGAAGGTGATGTCCACCGAGCAGGGCAGAATCCGTTACAGAGCAATGGTGAGCAAGTGAATGTGAGGATTATTCACTCTCATTGTGGTTACCCTGTCATTTACTCATTTCTTTCCAAGTTTGAGTCTGTTCTAGCTTGAAATCCACTTCATTTCCTCTCTATGTGGAAGAGCTGCAACAATTTTATTCTGTAATTATCTTCTTTACAAATGGATCTCTTTGGTTCCCAACTTTCATTATACTTTTATTTTGTAACTCTGCAAATGAGCTTCAAAAAAGGCGGTGGAAACAATTCCATTATCTTTCATTTTCCCACAAACATATGAAGTCCCTTCATAGCTCTGTAAGAACAGGGACCGGCCTGCCTGAATCACCATCCTCTTCCCTGTTCGTCTAGCAGTGCCTCCTGGACACAGTGACACTCAGTAAATATGGTAGCACACAAGTGGCTCCAAGGTGACGTTTCCTGCGCTTTCGACTGCTGTCGCGCAAATTCTGCATAGTTGTACAAAGCTCGGAATGTGGCTATCCTTTCACCGCCACTGAGTCTGTTCCAACTCGGAGACTCTACAAGACGTGTTTGACTGTAAATCCTTATGGGAGTTGGGAGGGAGCATGAAAACCGATAGATGATGTACGTACAACTCTTTAAAATCGTCCTAACTATGTACGTGTATGACATGTATCATATCAAGAAAACTCCTGAGGGGGGAAAAAAGGATACCAAAGTTGACCAATAGTTGCACTGGTGAAGGAGAGAGGTTTTGCATAGGCAGCTTTGGGTTTATGTTAACAGTGGTGGAAAAGGCTATCAATAATGGTTGTACCACATGAAGAGTATAATCAATGGCACTGAATTACGCATGTAGAAGTTATCAAATTGGAGAATGTCTTCTGTATATTTTTGCCACAAATTAAAAAAATTACTGTATATATTTGAGTATAAGCCGACCCAATTATCAGCCAAGGCACCTAATTTTACCACAAAAACTGAATTTAAAATGTGCTGAAAAACTCAGCTTAAACATGAGTAGATACGGTACACAAATAACAATGAGTACAAGGAAGAAAATGTTCTAGAATTTATTGTCATAATGATTGTACAACTCCCCTTGATATGACTGAACTACTGAATTGTATATGTGGATGAAATTGTTGAAAAATAACATTTTTTTTTCTTAGTCATTTTATTGGGAGCTCTTACATATACCATAACATTCTGTAGTTCAACCACATCAAGCAATATTGTACAACTGCTACCACAATCGGTTTCAAAACAAAAAATAAATAAATCTTTATGGGAGCCAACAGCCTCATCTTTCTCCCAAGCAGTGGTTGGTGGATTTAAACTATCAACCTGGCTGTTGGCAAACCATTGTTTAAGCTACCAGATTACCAGGGCTCTTTTCCTCAAAAATGGCAATGATTAAGCACCCATTTTACCTTTAATGATTTATTTAGAAGTACGGTCATTTATTTGGTCAATCTCTATTAATGTACACTCACTTTTAGTATTGGGAACTGTCCCCAAAGGGACTTTTTAAAAAATTTTCATCTATCGATGGATAAAACTGTCCTTCCACCTCAAGGAAAGACATAAACCAGTCTCTGGGACATTGCCTCTTCAAGATTCCTCTCTGCTCCCTGAAGTTGTCCCAAGGCAGGGTAACCCAGACCCGTGTGACAATGCATACCTTTAGTTCCTATCTGGAGCTCCCAAGCACTGGAGAACTGCAGCAGCCAGCTCAAAACTCAAGGGTTGGGCCTAAATTAATCATCACCCTCCCACAGAGGAGACCCTGTCATCTCTCCTCACTCAAGCTAACAGATGCGGCGACATCCAAGGTCTAACTTCCCTTCAATTTTCCATAAAGTAATTCAGTGTATTTCCTCTCCCCGAGTAGTGAAAATTGTAAGCACACCTGTCTATTAACTGAAAAGCCAGGGGTTCAAGTGCAGCCAGAGCAGACCCGAGACCTACTTGAAACCCTGTGGAGCAGAATTCTGACACACACAGGACTGCCATGAGCATCTAAACCAGAGGTTCTCAAGTCTCCTCATGCTGCGACCCTTCCTCAGTTCATGTGGTGGTGACCGCCCCCCCCAACCATAAAATTATTTGCCTTGCTACTTCATAACTGAAATTTTTCTGTTATGAATCGGGCAGCCCCTATGAAAGGGCTGCTCGACCCCCAAAGGGGTCACAACCCACAGGTTGAGAACTGCTGACCTAAACGGACTGGAGGCAACATGGTTTTTAGAGAATCTCCTCTAAGCCTTTCTTTCATTAATCCCAGCTCTGTTGTCATGAATCACAATTGTGCAGCTAACTTAAACTTTCCTAAGGTCTGTTGTTCCAAATTCCTAAACAAGTTTTGTAGGTTTGATCTTTATATCCAGTGCTATTGCCCAATCTTTCTGATTACCCACACAAGTGTGTCCAATTTTTCTAATCTGCTAATGAAGTACCGTGAGTGGAGGGGAAGGTCAGAGGAAAATGTTGAGGCAGGGAGACAGAAAGGGAAAATATGTGACTACTGAAGGGTCAGCAGGAAGCCCAGTGACTAGCACAGGACGGGACAGAAACCTAGCATCCAAGTGTCTGAATAGTTCAGGAGTCAAGGATGTGAGACACTGCTACTTCACACCCTTCTACAAGGATTTCCACCGGTGTCTTCTCTTTCCACCATCATCTCAGCGTAACTACTGGTGAAAAGTACCCACAACCTTTTAGGGTTCCGTTTTCATGACGGGTTGGGAGGAGAAATGACGACTGCTTTCACCCGATTAAGAATGCTTTTCTTAATAGTTTTCTGAATTAAACTTTTTTGGCAGTAAGAATTCCATTATTATAAGAAAAATAAGCTAACAGGAAGAACATTTAAAAAACAAGGTTAGAAAGAACTGAGCTGGGGGACAGACAACAGAAAAGTGGGTGAAAGGAGGAAAAGGCTGGACAGTGTAAGGCGTGACAAATAATAATTTATAAATTATCAAGGATTCATGAGGGAGGGGGGAAATGAGGAGTTGATACCAAGGGCTTAAGTGGAGAGCAAATGTTTGGAAAATGATGAGGGGAACAAATGTACAAATGTGCTTGACACAATAGATTCATGTATAGATTGTGATAGGTGTACGAGCCCTCAATAAATTAAAAATAAAAAAAAAGAACTGAGGCTAATTGCTTGCTTGCTTTGCCACCCTACCCCTACCCAGCTCCAAGCCCGTGAGCGGAACATGTTCACCAATCTCAGAGAAGAACCAACCTGTTTAAAATAACGCCACACACCCTCACCATTTCCTTTACTCAGCACCATTTAATTAAGTATTGAAGTACTGCTTCTTTGTAAAAGCAACTACAAACCCTCAGGATTGGAAACATCAGTCTCTGAAGAGCAGTACACTGACTACACCCACAAGATTTTAAATGAAAGACAATGCTACAGGTTCTTCATCTTCCCTGGATAACACAAAACATGGTGTTCAAACTGCAGTTCTTAGTAAGAGGAACATGGACTCTCATTATGATACAGAGACTGGTTAAAAAAAATAGAACTGAGCTTGGATTAATCCAACACCTGCACTTCAAGCCCCAGTCCTGGCCCACTCTAGGACTGACTGGCTCATACAGCACATCAGACTCTGCCTCCAGGTTTCCTCCCCAGCCAACACTTCATTTTAAAAAGCATGAGACTTAGAAGTACATCACAGGATGAGAATTACCAGAACATGCTGCAAGTTGACAGTAGATTCCATGAAATCTCAAGTGTGGCGGGAAGTGTGCGAGTTTGTTTCTTTCATTTTACTCTGATTTAAGCAAATAGGAATGGTGCCTGAAAAAATGAAGAGATGCCTGGACATATCCCAACCATTAATTATAAAAGGGAGACTGTTGTAAAGGCTTATAAAGCTTATAACAAGAAAAAAAACAAAACATTTACAGTACATTAAATGAAAGAGTTGAATACAAAATTGTACATACAGTATACTTTCAACTATGTAAAAAACCAACAACATATGCCCTAAAAAAGACTGAAACAATCCGTGAATGTTAATAGTGGTTATATTTAGGTTGCATTTCTAGAGATTTCTTTCCTTCTACTTTCCCCAATTTTTCGTTAACTATGAGCTATAAAATACAAACTTCCATGGATGTTTTGAGTTTGAGTTAAAGAATTCAAGCCCAGTCTATGAGAAAGGAATTGTCCGTTTATAAAACTATAAAACATCCCAGGCTACTCCAGGAGTCCACTGTGTGCTAGGAATAACCTGCCAGACATTGGCAGGCTTTCCCCCAGTGAGGGAAATCTGCCACCAGATCCCACCTGACGACCCAATCGAGAAGCAAAAGGAAACGTCATGAACTTGAAAAAGGAAAAGAAATGCCTGCACTTGGCAAAAGCTTACTTCCAGCACAGTAGCTCCACTCCCTAACATTGGAATTACACAGGACTACCATTTTCTGTGTAGAGCCAACCCTGCATCACAAATAGCAGTCACATAGCACTGCAACAAGAGTGAACAGAGCAAAGTGCAGTGTTAAAAACAATTAACAAGTGCTTAGTACAAAATGATTCTCTTCAAAACATTTGCTTACTCTATACACATTAATGCCAAAAAACCCACAAAACCTCCAACGTATGACAGCAGCTCAGAATGTGTTCAGGGTCTGAGGGGACAGACCTGTGCCTGCCTCAAGGTCATTTCAGTCTCCCAACTGCGGGGAGGCCGGTGTGTCACCAACCACAGTACAGCAGCTGCAAGCAGATGCTAGTGCAGTCTTGGAATCAAAGGGTATGCTGTAATCCTCATGAAATTACTCACACACCACCGATACAGAAACTGGCCTGACTTGGAGGCAAAACCGCAGCTACTTTCTCCTGATCAACCCTTCTGAAGAGAGCAGGCATTACACTGAGATACGTGTCAACCTCACAACGCCTGGTGAAGTCAGCGGAGCACAGTTCACTGCAGCAGGCAGACAGACCCGACGGTGAGGACGAGCGCCTAGGTCTGAATCTGCGTCGAGACTGGTCAGGGCCATCACAGGAAGCACGGAGTGCAACTTCAATGTGACGCGTCTGTGTCCCCTTCCGTGCGCTGATGCGCAATGTGCTCCTGCGTCAGCCGCTGCAGGTCTTTCCTCACGTCTGGGCGGTCTTCTAGGTCTTCGTAGAGTGATCTGACAATGTCCAGCTTCCGGTAGTTCTCAGGTCGGACCAGGCTGCGAACTACCTGGAGGCAGCGCTCTTTCAGGGTGTACACTGTAAGGGCAGAAAGGCACACCCTCAGCCTCGGGACGCCAACCATGGCAGCCACATGTACCACCATCAAGTCTCACTTGGGATGGGAAATAAAACAGTGGGCATGTATTTTGCAGCAGTGTATAGATTTGACAGCCCCAATGCATGCCTCATGGTAGTCGATCCCTTGTGTGGTTAACTTCTGCTTGAAGCTGTGCTGGGCCTGGAATTTGTTAGAACTAAATATGGATGAAATGACACTGGCCCAAGTCTCCCGAAAATAAGGAAGCTATAGTTTTTAGACTCTTGGGAGCCCTCAGCTATCCAGCAGAAGAGCACACACTGGGGAAAGGGCCTGAGACCACCCAGAGAGAGGCACTCGGAAAGCAGCCAGCAGGACAGCTGTAGAGCTCAGCTTACCCAATACCGCAAAACAAACAAGCAAAATGGTGGTGTTACTTTTGGAGTGGTTCTAACACAGCGAGACATAGCCAATTAGTGTATAACTGGATTTGGGGGTATCTCATATCCTATTTTAAGGGCACTGGGGAACTTACTATTCCTTATGGGTATCCATTAAGGTATAATTGACCAAGTTTAACTTATTAGTGTTGGTTTTTATATACCTACTTCCTTAAAACAAAATCTCTGTATATTTTAGCTTGAACCCTATGAAGTTACAGGTATTTATTTTTTCACTCACAAAAACATCAGTTTCTTAGGGTTCACCCTAATGAAACCGTTTAAACTTGAAATAGTGAACTATGATGTTCATGTTCAATTCAACTTTTTGTTTTAAACCTTGTGAGCTTCAACATTCAAAGTCATATAAATAAAACCCACTATACTCCCACCTCCTGAGCCTATCTGGGTACAGTTTTGCTCCAGAGTCAGGAAACATTCTATATTCGGCTATTTTAATTTAGCCCATCTCTGAGGAGCCTAAAGAGCTCTAGAGATACACATCTTTTTATCCAATGTATGTCTTAAGTAGCCACACTGGTCTGAGTCAAGGTAGCAATTTCTACCGTCTCCCTTGACCTACATGAACTCTTCTCCCTCTCTTTGCTTAAATTTATACAAACCACTTTCAATAACATTAGTGCAGACAAGCTTCACAGCAGATCCACTAACAAAAGAAGAAATAGGTGTCAAATAACTCAGAGTAACAGAGATAATAAGCAGCAGAGTATGTCCTTAAGACTCCAATGCCTCTTCCTCTCTGTCATCTTGGTGGAAAAGCAAAGCTCACCTGAAGTACAGGACTGCAAATCACTCCAAAGAGTGCTGTGGGACACAGAAAAATTCCTCCCAAGTTGTCTCCCCCAAATATATCCCAAACTTAGCTGCTTGCTACACGTGGCAGATGACTATGCACTTGGAGGTCAACAGAAGTAGGTCAGGGGGTTATTCTCCCTAAGGGTTATCAGCCACCCAGAGCAAGCAGACACCACTGTTTACTCCACAACAAGTGGAGCCCACTCCCTTCTCATAAGGATAAAAGATTGTTTCCCTGAAGGACAGCCCAGGGAGGTCAAGCCCAGGGAGGCTGCTATATTGAGTCTAGGTTCCGCCCTTCTTGTCACATGTATACCCTTAGTCCCTCCCCTTCCTATCATGTGTACACCCCTAGCTCATTCCCTTCCTGTTACACCTATGCCCATTGTATATCCCCTTCCTATTGCTTGTATTGCCTATTGTACAGCCCCTTCCTGTAACATGTATGGTTGTGTGTAATCACGTCCCCTAAGTAGATATAAGCCTTGGTTAGCAATAAAGTGCCCGCCTGCTCTTGTGCTTTCCTGCCCTCTTGGCCCACGTTGTGTGTGGACCTGGGACCTGGCTGGTAAAACATGGCCATCTAGGAGGTGAGCATGCTACCACGAAACGTGTCTGACTTCTTTATTTGACTCTCTCTCCTATCTCTCTCATTCTCTATGACTATGATAATCTTTATATATATCTTAACTGTATAACTATACTACCTGAACCCGTGATTAGTTGTGGGGGGCTGACTTTCCCACACACAGTGTAATCCTGGAAGAGGCCACCGACTCCTCAATAGGTATCCAATGCATACATACGTGTACAAGTATGCATGTATACAATGTGCACACAAATAACATTACTTCGGAGGAAACAGGCTACTGGCCTAGCATCAGGCAAAAATCAGGAAGGACTTGGCTTCTTCAAGTGACTCAGCCTCTACTTATTTTAATAAACAACCTTTTTTTAAAAAGATGAAATATCAGTACCTGGCAGTGTGATGTTGGCAAAAATAGGCTGTCCATCAACGTTGAGAGACGGCACAAACAATTCCGTTTGGTTAACCAGAAGCCCATCGTAAGTCCCTGCATCTCTGAAGAGCCAAAGGTGACCTGTTAAGGAAGCAGAGTCTGTTAAGTAGCCACAGTGGTCTGAGTCAAGGTAGCAATTTCCCTCAACCTGCATGAAATCCTTCCTCCTCTCCTCTTTGTTTACGTACACACACCACTTTCTGTAACATTTCCTTTGGTCAAGCTTCATGGCAGATCCACTAACAAAAGAGGAAACAGGTCTCAAAAAGCTCAAAGTAACAGAGAGAATAAACAGCAGAGTATGTACTCAAGGCTCCAACTCCTCTACCTTCCTGTAATCTTGATGGAAAAGCAAAGTTCACCTGAAGTACAGGACTGCAAATCACACCAAACGATCCGGAAGAGAAGGCCACGACTCCTCAAATCCGTGCTTCTCAAAAATTCAGAGGTGAACAGGTTGGAGGCAAGCAGGGTCACTGAACTGTGCCAGTCAACAGGGTGGGGATGGCAAATGTTTGGTGTCTGCGGGGATTCTAAAAAGTTCATGGAAAAGTCCACTTTGAAGGTCCCCTTTTGTGGGGAACAGAAGGATTTCTCTCAAGCTGTCTCCCCCCAAAATATGTACCAGACTTAGCTGCTTGAGAATGACTGTACACTAGGCAGTCAGCGAAAGTAGGTCAGAGGTTATTCTCCTTAACATCAGCCATCTAGAGCAACCAGACTGTATAGTCTGACTCACCCTAAGTAGGGCCCAGTCCCTTCTGCTATTGTTCCCTTGAAGCAGTGCCCAAAGGCAAGCCCGGGACCACTCTAAGATGACTAAGCTCATCGAGTCCAGGGTGCACCCATCTTGCCACACATGTTCTCCAATTCCCTCTTCTTACTATTGCGCGTTCACCCCTCGGTCACCCCCCTCCTATTGCTTGTATTGCCTGTGTTGCAACCCCTCCCTATGACGTAGATTGTTGTGAATTGTATTGCCCCTTTCTGTGATGTATGATTCTGTAATCAGATCCCCCTAAAGTGATATGATGCATGGTTAGCAATAAATAAGGAGGTTCCCTGGTTCTCGGGAGAGAGGAGGACGAGGGAGGCAACTACTTCTACTCTGGCAGCCGGGTTCCCCCCGCCCGAGGACCACCAAACGGGGCGGAGGTGAGCAATGCTACCATGTAATATGTCTGACTGTATTATTGTATTATCTCTCATGCTCTCGATGATTTTAATATAACATTTACATATCTCAACCGTACAATTGTGCTTACTGAACCCGTGGGTATTATTAGTAGCAGCAGGTGGAGGCTGGCCCCCCCCCAAAAAAATTTTTAATTTAATACTACACCCTTTACATATTTTTACCACACTAAAATTTTAAAAAGTCATGCAAAAAACAACCATCATGTTGAAAGGAAGAAGCCAGACAGAAAAGGGAGCATTTTGTAAAAACAGACAAAGCTATCTAGAGTGTGAAAAGGCAGAGGTGCAATGGCCACTGGGAAGGATGAAGGGAAGTGAGTGGGCACTGAAAAGAGGGAGTTTTCTGGCCTGATGAAAATGTTCTCAATTACAACTGGACCTAGATGGTGCTGTATCTGTACAAGCTCAGCAAACTTTAAGACCTGTGCATTGCACTGTACATAAACAATATCTGAACTTATGGACCAAATGCATCCTTTACAAAAAAGGGGAGAGGGGAGGGGACATAAAGCCCCAAGTCTTAGACAGTTTAAGGAAGGAGAGGTGGTCCTCAGAACCAACACAGTCATGTTGGTAAACACCTCACTTGAAGATTTGGTAGTTGCTTAGCTTAAAGCAGTAGTAGATAAATGCTAAAGAATGTAAATTCATACAACTTCCTAAATAAAACGGGAGGCTATAGAAATGTTGATCTCTGGAAGAACTCTGAGGGGAAATTTGGGGCAGAAGTTCAAGAAGAATGAACTGAATACATATACCAGCACCAGGCAACGAGAGATCCATTAGGATCCTCACAAAATGATTGAAAACTGAGTGAGGCCAGGGAGGCCCTGGCTGACATGAAGTGGCTACCTAGATGACTAAAAGGTGGGCTGTGCAAGGCCCCTGGGCACCTCCAGAGACAGGCCTGGGGATGTGGTTGGCACAAAGAAAGGTTCTTGCTAACCTAGAGGTGGATGGTTTGAAACCCACCCAGTGGCAGCATGGAAGATGGCCCGCCACCTGCTTTCCTAAAGATGAGGCCCAAGAAAGCCCTACACCAAGCAGTTCTATCTATCAATCTATCTAACTATATCTATCTTATCTATCTATTAAAGCAGTTCTACTTTGTAACCTATGGCTAATCATGGGTGGGGCTCACGCTATGGTAAAGGCTTGCTAACCTCGCATGCTCGCCTCAGTCCTCGGGAGACCTAGTTACCCTTCACCTCGGTTACAATGGTTACAACTTCGTGGCTGGTTCCTGCCCAGCACTCTTCCTCCCCCCTAGCACCGTACCCAGGGGGGGCTTTGCAGTGTGCAAACCGAACAGTGTCTCTTCCCTGTTTAAAGACGGGCACTCTCGAAAACCCTACATAGGGTCGCTTAGTGTCGACGGACTCCCAGGCTGAGGCTTGCGTTTGAATCGCCTTTGGGGCTTCCGTACACTCTTCCCACCTCCAGGGCACCCGGTCTTGCTCGGGCCGCTCCTTCGGCGAAGGCAGCACTGCCGCGGCGGGCGGGCGCCGGCTCCCCACTGCACGCCAACCCCCATCCTGCCTGGAAGCGCCTCCACCGCCGAAAGGAGGGCCAGGCCCGGTTCCTGTGTCCCTCCCCGCCCGCGTCCTCCAGGAAGGCAGGGACCTGCTGCGCCCGCACACCGGGGACCACGGCGACAGCCGGGGCGGCGGGGGTGCAGCCCTTCTCCAGGACTGAAACGGACGCCCGGGGCCGCGGGGGCCGCGCAGCACCTGCGCGCGGCCGGCGGGGCGTCCCCGGGCCCCGGGCGCTCGGCCCGCGCGCGTACCTCGGTAGCTGTGGATGCGGCGGCCCGTGCCCGGCGGCAGCGTCGGGTAGGGCTGCGGCTCGCCGTCGAAGTTGAGCCACACGGGCAGCACGACGCGCGGGCTGCGGTTGCAGAAGATGACCTGGGACGGCTCGCGAGAGTTCACCGAGCGCAGCACCGGCGGCAGCCGCCCCGCCTCCATGTCCGCCTCGGCGCCCGACTCCTCGGCGTCCGACGCCTCCGGGCCCGAGTCCTCGGCGCCCGAGTCCTCCCGACCGTACTCCTCCGGGCCGTACTCCTCGGCGCCCGACTCCTCGCCGCCGGCTTCGGCCTCTTCCAAGTTCCCCGCCTTCCCGGGCATTACCTCAGGGGACGAAACAACCAGGGACCTGCCGCCTCGGGGTTTGCGAGCCGGAGGGGGCGGGGCGTACGTGCGCGTCCCGGGCCCGCGAGCGTGCATGCGTGCGTGCGTGCGTTTGCGCGCTCCCGGACGGGCGTGGGACCGCGACTCCGGGGAGGCCGTCTGGAGACTGCGCATGCGCAGAAGGGTCGTTTGGCTACCGGCGTAAGGGGGCGGAGGCGTTAGGTTACCGGGTTACTAGGAAGTTTTGCGCATTCCCAAAAGACCTGCAAGAGGTGTTATGTTCCCTGCCGTCCACACGATGACCCATTTAATAATTTTCTCCAAAAAAAATTTTATTCTCATTAATCAAGTTCCCATTTGGGGTCGCAGTACTTAATTTATTTCCCGTCTCAGGTCCCCATGAAATGCAGTTTACCAGTTTTTTGCATTTTTCAAAGGTATTCTATACACAAAATTAAACAGGTTTAAGAAGAAATTTGATACCAGAACCACAACTGGAAACTCCGTGTCCTGTACCAAGAGGAGTGCATAGAACATTACACACCTTAAAGAAAACAAGACTGGAGTTGCTTTTTGTTACTATTTTCTCTCCCCGCAGGGCTCTGACCGAGCCGCTTTCTCGGCTTAAAAGGGTTGGCCAAGCGTTAGATGTTCAAGAACTGATACTACGCAGAGACTTTCTCCTGTATGTAATCAGAAGGGAGTAACTTCACACTGCAGCCTGTGTGCTTGCTGAGAATCAGCCGTCGAACCTGGTGAAAACCACTGCCCCACAACAATCAAGGCTCAAGGAGCCCTGGTGGCGTTGTAGGCTAAGTGTTGAGATACAAACTACAGGGTTGGCAATTCAAACTCAACAGAGGGAGGCAGGCGAGGCTGCCTGCCCATAATGAGCGGACTTGACAGCAGTGAGGGAGTTTGAGCCCAACAATTGCCGAGTGCCAGGAAGACATGAGGCCAAGCACTTGGAATTACATCCTCGTGGGTGCACATCCCAGCACTAGCTTCAGGTATGGGATGTTGAACAAGGCTCTTAAACTGTCAGAGCCTTTAAGTTCCTCTTTTTAGAAATGGGCATTTGAGAAATATCCATGTTTAGCGGTAGGAAAGACCCTGGCGGCACTGTAGGGGGCACTTGTTGAACTGCTCACCACAAGGTCAGTGGTTCAAACACACCAGGTGTCTTAAATACCATCCCACCACAGCTCCACCCCACACTAGAAAACAAAACCAAAAATCCCAAGCCCACTTCCATGGGGTCAATGCTGACTTATAGTGATCCGATAGGACATGATCCAGCTACAAGATGTAAATCTTTATGGAAGCAGATGGCCGCTAAAGGAAGAGATGGAGTGTCTTGGCTTCCAGTGTGGTAGAGTGACTAGCAGTGAGGCTGCATCTCCAGCTATGTGGATGGTGAGCAATAGGGAAACATCGTTAAAAAAAAAGCCCCAGGAAGTCCTGTTAATCAAATCACAGTGGCTCATGAATATAAATATGACCCCATTTTTGTATTCCCATGCTAGTGAAGTGCAAAACATTAAGTTTAATATTACACAAGGCTTACATCCCCCAATTAGGCCAATTGTTCAGATAAACCCAGACCACTTTTAAGACTGATATTGTGGGTGAAGGGAGACAGCGGTCAGTATAAGACATGGAAAAATAATTTATAAAGTATCAAGGGTTCATGAAGGGTCATTAAGAGTCCAAATCGGTTTGATGGCAGTGACTTGGTTGGTTGATGTTATTACTTTCTTAGTGTAGAAAGCAACTGAAAAACACACATAACATGTTTGGCTTATGGTATATTCCCTGTCTGAAGTCGAAACTCCATTGTCCCCGTGGGGGTCCTGCAAGTGTCATTTTAGCATCTTCGGGCTGCTCATGAATATGTGTGAATAATGCTAGCCCGCCCGTAAGCTCCAGAAGGAGAAACTGCAGGTGCGGCTCACCTTTTTGTCTTCAGTGACCTGCAGAGTAAGCAAAAATATTGACTTGAAATTGTTGCCGTGAGTGAAGTTCATGGAGCTCACTGGTTTCCAGCCGTTCCTCCCCACTTGTTTCAGGACGCCGCCGCCTGCAGTCCTCAGTCTAACAGCTCTTTTCGCAGTCTCTTCCTGGGTTCACGGTTTCCATCCCGCTCTAGTGTGAGCTTTATCCCCGGACACGTGTTGCCCTTCTGATGTCCTATGGCTGGTTGTTCTCAGGATGTACCTTCTGTGTCATTGCTCTCCCATAGGCCTGGGGCTGGGCTCTACGCTGAGCCAGGCAGAGAGTTTGGTTCCAGGCCTGAAGAGTGACGAAGGGCCAGAGTTTCAGTGGTTCCACAACCCCACCTCAACCAAGAAGCCTGATCTTTTTTATGAAACTGAGTTTTGGTCCACATGTTCCTCCCACTCTACCCAGGACCTCTTCTAGTCAGCCGTGGGAGCTGGGACCATGCAGTCTCCTGGTCTGAGGGTGATGAGGCTGAGGTCCGTGTGGCCCATTAGTCCAGTAAACCAAGTAGGCAAAGTGCTGAAGCCAAATTGAATTCTTTGCCATTTATTAAAATGAAGTATTTTTATCATGAAAAGGCTTATAAGATCTGCTTTCACCTAACATAACACTTAGTTCCTATGTTTACTCTTTGTTTGTTTGTTTACTCTTAAAGTAACACTGAGTTTGTCACAGCAAATGAGTTTAGGTTGGAGGGTAAAATGAATCATTTAAAAAAATGTAGTCTACGGAAATTAGTATGTCTAAGAGTTGGAGGATACAGAGCCTTAATACAAGCATACACCAGAACCAACAATCCTATCGATGAGAGTGAAGGGGAGCACAGAGTGGAGACCCAAAGCCCATCTGCAGACAATTGGACATCCCCTTACAGAAGGGTCCTGGGGAGGAGACGAGCCAGGCAGGGTGCAGTGTAGCAATGATGAAACATACAACTTTCCTCTAGTTCTTTAATGCTCCCTCCCCCCAACTATTATGACCCCAATTCTACCTTACAAATCCAGCTAAACCAGAACATGTACACTAGTACAGATAAGAACTGGAAACAAAGGGCATGCAGGGCAGATAAACCCCTCAGGACCAATAATGAGCAGCAATACCAGGAGTGTAGGGGAAAGGTGGGGGGAGAAAGGGGGAACCAAACACAATGATCAATGTATAACAGCAAACAACAGAAAAATGGGTGAAGGGAGACAGTGGTCAATGTGACATGAACATAATAATTTATAAGTCAAGCGTTCATGAGGGGAAAAAACTAGGAACTGATACCAAGGGCACAAGTAGAAAAAACATTTTGAAAATGATGATGGCAGCAAATGTCCAAATGTGCTCGACACAATAGATGTATGTATGGATTGTGATAAAAGCTGGAAGAGCCCTCAATAAAATTATTATTTTTTAAATATGAGCATATAGATTCAGGCCTGCTGCCAAGCCCATGCTTACCAAGCTAAACAAGCCCTGCCGACGTGCTATATTGTTCCACCGGGCAATAGGCATCGCTGACCAGTGTTCTTTTGTCTCTCACGTGGTAAGAGCCAACCAGAGGCTGGTACAAGCAGAGGGTTAGCACCACACCCAAAAGAAAAATGACACTCACCTGGGAACAAGGCGGCGGAGAGGAACGACCGACCTTGGGGCAGCAGTCAACCTGTGTGGGCTTGTTTGTACAATGGCAGTACTCTTGTGAGTTTCACTTCGCTTCAACACAACTTTTCACCATAAACTCAACCGGAAGCCCACCTTGCTTTTCCCCGGTGGCTGCGTGGCCTCGAGAAACCAGCTGTGTTTGTGGAGCGAACACTGGCACCAGCCGGACACACTGCCAGTTTCCTAAGGCGACTACTTCAAAGGCACACAGCATCCCAACTTTTTGCAAACTTTTTGGCCAGTAAAAGGATGAAGTACATGTTCTAGTAGAGAGTCTAAAGATTGGCAGCTTTTCTGTATCATTTAGATTCTAAATTTTAAAGGTACCTGTGGTCTGTGCCCTGAGAGCACAAGTGACTGTGCCCAAAAGGTTGGGGGTTCAAAGCCATCCAGTGGTTCCCCAGATGGCCCGGAAAATGCTGGGTGGCTCTCAAGCACAGGAAAAACCATGGGGCTTTTTGAGGGCGTCATGTTAACACCTGGCTCACTGCGTCGGACTTGATGAGCATGGGTTTTTCTAGGGGGGTAGGGTGGCTTCTTTAGCTTTATGAAAAAGGGAGCAAACACTCTGGGAGAGGCGAGAGGCAAACAACAGGCTTCCTATCCACTTTGTGTTGCCTCTGGTCCCAAGATGACTCAGCTGTTCCGCAGCCACCAGGGTAGCTCCAAGAACCGAGTACCAAGGATGCGAGGACAGAACCGGGCGTTTCTCCAGTGCTGAAGCCACCATTTCACTGTTTCTGCTTCTGAAATCTAGGTCAAGCTTTTTTAATAGAAAAGGGTTTTACTATCAAGAGATGCATAATGCATGCATGCCTGCTAGCTCACTAGTTCAAAACTAATTCAAAACCCTCACTAGTTTTCAATGATTATTTGAATTAAGCCAAATTACTAGCCTCTTCCCAAACCTAAGGGTTGCCTTGGAGGCTCCCGGGGTGGCTGGGAAGTTCCTGGGCGTCGGCTCCTTTCACATTCACATTGGGAGCAGAGCTCGAAGAATTCTTGAAGGAATTACTCTGCAGAATCCTCAGGTCTTAAGGTTCCGGGCAGACAAGAGGTACAGTGGGACCCGAGAGAGGCAGCGGGCCCTCTGGTTTTCCCTTCCCAGAGGGAAGGCTTGGCTGGTGTGGCTCTCTGTGGTGCCCTGCAATTAGTTCAACTATTGGATGGCAATAAGCAAGATTAATAACACTTCTTGACATTTTCACATGTAATTGCGAGAAGCAGCAATTGTCCTGCATACGGGTTACCCTCACGCCTACCCCATGACGCTCATGTTACAGCTGACGTACAGCACCAGCTCAATGCCTGGTCAGCTCACTGCCAGGCCCCAGACAAGGTGGATCCTGAACTTTAGGAGCCCTGGCTTCCTCACTGTGGAAAGATGGGCGGTGGGAGAGGCCATGAGCCCCAGTGGTAGTAAAAGTACTCTGGAGAGGGGCTCCTGGTGGGAAAGGTACTCTGGAGAAGAGGGGCTCCTGGTGGGAAAAGTACTCTGGAGAGGGGCTCCGGGTAGTAAAAGTACTCTGGAGAGGGGCTCCTGGTAGTAAAAGTACTCTGGAGAAGAGGGGCTCCTGGTAGTAAAAGTACTCCGGAGAGGGGCTCCTGGTGGGAAAGGTACTCTGGAGAAGAGGGGCTCCTGGTGGGAAAAGTACTCTGGAGAGGGGCTCCTGGTGGGAAAGGTACTCTGGGGAAGAGGGGCTCCTGGTGGGAAAGGTACTCTGGAGAGGGGCTCCTGGTGGGAAAGTTACTCTGGAGAGGGGCTCCTGGTAGTAAAAGTACTCTGGAGAAGAGGGGCTCCTGGTAGTAAAAGTACTCTGGAGAGGGGCTCCTGGTAGTAAAAGTACTCTGGAGAAGAGGGGCTCCTGGTGGGAAAGGTAGTCTGGAGAAGAGGGGCTCCGGGTAGTAAAAGTACTCTGGAGAGGAGCTCCTGGTGGGAAAGGTACTCTGGAG